TTTTACTGTTTAGTTCATTTTATTTAGCTCACGATTCGTCCTTTGATCAAGGAGTCTACCAGCTCCTACCAGCCTTTGTCGTGTTGCATTTCCAAACTGTGATCCAGAATTTTCAAATCCAGTGTCGTATTGTAACGGAAATGGTAGCTTGGTCTTATATGACACATATTGATAACCTAAAACTATCCATAAAAAATCTCATTGAAAAGAAATATTTTGGAAGTAATTTCTGCATAAATATGGTGAGAATGTGATTTAAAGAGCTGTCCATAATGTAAGTGATTTTGTTTACACATAAATCAAAAAGGAGAAAAGGATGCACCATACGACTTATTTATTTGCTTACGGTTTGCTCAGTCACAGATTTCATTGAAAAATATATGATTTGAGGCAAAAAAGGATTTGAAAAAGAAAATTATTTAAAGTATATTTAGTTGTCGGAAAAAGTATCGGCAACTTGAGAATGTATATAATTGAGTGCGATAATTACCAAATTGTGAATTACAAACTAACCCGGCATATCCCATCTGGACCATGGTGCTGGAGGTACTTGAGCCATGAACAATTCCAATGAGTTGTTAATAATTATGCACGCTGCAGGACAATAACTTATTTCAGTTTTATTCATTTTTTTTCAGTTTATACAAATTCAACCAAAAAAATTGATTCGCATCGTAACTGATAATGGAACATGGATATATCCTAATTAACACAACAGAACAATTTCTCTTCCTTCATCACTCTTGCTAATGGATGTTGTCAAAATCACTTGTTACATCTTTTTTTTCTGTTTTCTTTTTTTTTTTAAATAAGTACATACCATAATTTTAACATAACCGGGATTTTTCAAGTTTATATGGGAAGGTGTTGATAACGGAAAAAATTTTAGAAATGCCTACTATTCACTAAAGGATGTAGAAAGCAAAAGTTGAAAGAATGTAATGAGGAGCAGGAGAGGTAGGGAACGAACAGGAACGACATGGTAAAGATACATGAAAGTGTTCGAGTTGGACAAACATTGAAAACTGGCACATATCTTCCAGTGAACCACACAGCAAAAAGTATATCCACATTTCTACAATGAAAGTATATCCACATTTTTACAATGAATTAATAAATTTCATGTTCATTGAAACTTTTCTAACATCATTTTTTATGCCACAATATAATCGATGAAAATTCTTCGGTATATGTTCGGAATCAAAAAATAAGAAATTTGACCATCTGATCTGTCACCTTCACTTAGCAATGATAGATAGCTTAAACTAGTGAGTGCATGAGAGCTAGGAACTTATACTTAATTCTTGGAGTGTCCAGCTAAAAGTTCACTTTTACTACGCCAAATTAGCAGCAAGAACTACTCTTCTCCAGTTCCTTTAAAGTAATCATTGGAAAACAGCCATACCATTATTTTAACATTTGTGAAAACGATGGAAACGTTTACGAAAAACAACGGATGAAATAATCCGAATATCAGTAATAGAAGAGATTGAGCTCTTATTAATCAGCTTGTTGAATTTGTCGTGATAGTGACTGCAAATTATGTAAACATTGATTTAGCCCAACTTCGACAATATTATGCACGGACACATCTTCCACATGGTTCCAAGGGCAACCTCATTTACCGGGCCATACACACATTCCCGGATTTTTCAGAAATAATTCATCAATCTATATACATAATTTTTCAATAATACAATTCTTCAGTCTACATATTCAATCTATTTATATAGTAACCATTTCGTTAGGTCAATATTAATAAAAAAAATTCAGCTTCATAGTTTTCTGGTCGAAGAGACGGAAATTAAAGTTTAAATATAATTGCAGAGTGGACAGCAAAAGAAATCTTGCAGCTATTCATCCATCAATTCTTTGCTTCAGGTAAATTCCGGTTCATATCACTTGAACAGCATTAATATAAAGGTATATATGGATGAATTGTTTCGAAGGTCTACACATAATTGTTAGAATCCAGCCTTTTTACTACAATTTCCTTTTTTTATGACAGTTTGCGAAATGTTCAAACTATGAAAGCAGGCATTTTTCAGAATTATCGAACATCACAGAACACATCTATCATATGATACCATCCATTGTTGTGTTGTTCAAAATGGGGAATAAACTACACAGTACATCGTAGTATAACAAGGAAGCATACTGGCATAGTCACAAGCATAAAAACATATAAAATCGAAGTCAAACTGAATCGATGCTTTGTTTGTTTGATCAGAATCAAAGTTTGAAGTGAGGACTGATCTGAACTATATAATATTTTTCAGAATTGTCAAACAAAAGATATCCAAAAGATATCAAGAAAAAAAATGAACCGTATAAATATCTCTGTCTGGACGTAAAAAAGCTTAAAATTAAAGTTCGATCCAGCAACGCAGACCAATTTTCAAAGGAATAATTCACAAAAGATCAAGTTTGGTCCTGCAATAATATATAGACCAATAATTTGCAGAAAGTGAGGAGAAAGGAACAGTTTCTAACGATCCTCACACATTTGTGTGTAATTTTCTTGTAAATAAAGAAGGAATTCAAATTAACTTGTTGTAGCAGATCGTCTGAATCAGTGGTTCCAAACCAATAGTCCACAAGAAGTATGCTTTGCGAGGGCAACCCTACGGTGAGTGGAAAACAGTTGGGGGTTGTTATCAATATTTGGTAAACTAAGACGTTAAACGTTCTGATTAAAGTTTATTTCCAAATTGACAGAATTTATTATTTTGAACCTTATGGTCCTTACTACGAATAAAAAGGCCAAAATGTCCCCTGGTCAAGAAAGGGTTCGGGATCACTTATCTAAATATTCAAAATATTAACCTGACATTCTTATATTCGATTCATTTTAGCGGTGAAACGAAAAGTCCGACATTTGTCATCTTGTCAAATAAACGGAACGGCGAGACACCACTTCGAATATAAAAGATACCCTAGATAGAATATACCGGAAGCCTAGGAAGGACAGGTAAACCAAGGTAAATATTCGAGAACAGTGTGTACTTGAAGACTGCAGGGCCTATTTAATTGGTTCTGTTCCAATTTTCAAACCCAGCCACATTCGACGTTCTTGATACGCAATCCCTCTCTTCTAGTTCTACATTAGCATTTGCCACGTCAACGTGACATGTCCCAAATCCCTGATACAGAACTGCGAACTGTCTGTGCCTGCAGCGAAGAACGTTACCCCATAATAATAAGTCCTTACGGTGTACATCGTTAGCTTCCACACCGAAGCTCGAAGTTACAACATTCTAACCTTTTTGTGTCACGAAACATCAGGTTCTACTCACTAAACATTCGCAATATTCATCCATGCTTGTGAGCGAGAACGTTAATGAATATTCCAACAACGGATTTGGTTTACTATTTGTCCTTCCTTCAAGATTCAAGAGATATCACTGTAAAAAAAATACCGAGTTCAAAATGAACTAGCATTGTAACCGGTTGTAACTTGTGCAGAAATCAGTTTGCATGACTTGACCGCATAAGCAGCAACGGACAAAACCCATATGAACATCCATCAATATATTGCAACTGCGAGTGGAAATCTAATAACCATTTAAAAGAAAGTTATACATGCTCATTTCACGACAAATTAGAAATCCAAAAGTCGTATCGAACATGGATAGTATTCTGGGATGGGCAAAAGTTTCGTATCCAACCTTTTAAAAAGGTATTTCCATGTAACCATAAGGATGAGAATGTGAACTGCTTTAACAAATTTACCATACTAGAATACTACCCCCTACATAGGTATGTCTTCGTAAAATGCATAACACTGATTCTGATAAAACGAAAAAAAAAAAACAAAGTGCGACACCCGCTCAACTATGAACGCTGTATACGGAGGTTGGTAAACCGAGGATACAAGGAAAAAAGGAAAACAAAAATATACTTCACCAACAAACTTTTGCATCTGATTAAGATAGCACCAAGTTTGTCTCTTTTTATCATTGCCAAGGCGTAGGTATCCCCTAAAACAAACCCCCAAATAAATAACGAACAATGCGATTCTGGAATATGTCATTAAAGAAATGGCGAAAAACTAATGCTAAATTCGAGAGTGTTAAAGAACTGAAATAAACAATTGTTGAAAACATGAGACAATCAATTCGATAAATGCGACAAAGCAAAAGAAATCATATTCGACAATAAAATTAGGGAAATCACCGTAACAAACAAGAAGTCAAAATCACTTTTATGTACAATTCATATTCACTGTAAAAAATTAACTGACAAAAAAGGGGAACAAACTTTTGTATTAAAACAATTATGAAGCATAATTCCATTGATATCATGCCACACACATACAACAATATGAAAATTTTACTTGCGGTACTACATAAAAATATGAATACATGAAACATACATACATACATAAACACAAAACATACATCCATAGCAACCAAACGAACTCGATAACTGACCTGTTTCATTTCAATGTTATTGATGTCTTGAAAAATGTAAACGTTCCATATAAATCAATAACTTCAAAAACTGGCAATGTTTTTTTTTTTTGAAAACAACCCAGTTTGAAAAAGCTAAAACAGACAAATTACTTCCGCACAAGAAAAGTTGTATAAGTACATCTAAAAATATTTCAGCGTTCTATCTGTAATGAACGAAAACAAGTACTATCATGTATGACTTACCAAGCTGATCGATGCTGCCACTAATAGTAATTTTCGAAACCCTTTGTTTTCCTAGTTCTTGCAAAATGGATAAGTAAGAACAAGCCAGTTAAAACGCCTTCTTAAACCGCTACAGTTGCAGCAAGTCGATTTTTGATACTGGATTTCTATTTTGATGTTTCGGCGATACTTTTCCATAAGGAAATTACAAGACAAAAAGACAAGAGCCGATATCTGATGAATGATAATCACGCTAAGAGGTCTGTTGAACAGTAAATCTTCACAAAAAATTTCATAGACAAAGTATAAAAAGACGCGGTCTTGTGTTTTTCATGTTCATTTGCGAATGACGGTCTACAAATGAAACAAAACCATAAAAACTAACAAGTGTTAATAAAAAAAAAAAAAGTTAGTCATCGGTTTAACCAGTTTTACCACTGCTGAATGGATATTAGTCTCATAGTTGCGCATCCATTAGTCAATTAAACCTAATTAAAGTGAAATGCAAAAAACACTGAAGATCAACTTATTCCGCATCAAGTTTGACTGGAGTGGTAGCAGATTCGTCCGGAACAACTGAAGCCAATGAGTCAACCGATATAGTCGGCACCTGGAAAACAGTGAAATAAGTTGGGCAGTACTTGTTGTAAGATGGATTTTTGCTGATGGAACCAAGTATCATCCAAATCTGGAGCAGCTTACAGTAAATCAAATGCTTCACGTAAGCAATCACGTTTATCAGTAATATCGCAAATGGGACAGAGTTATCGACATGGGAAGGGGCAACGACGATCTACCGACCTAATCACAAAAAAAAAAAATCGACTAACCTTAGGTAAATTAGAGGCCCCTGGACTTCTGCAAGGTGATGCCGCTGATGATAAGGTGGAAGTTAAATGGGGCTGCGAACTAGCTTGTTGTGCAGGTGGAGTACCATCCTTTACTTCAGCTGGACCATCGGGTGAGGATGTTGGTCTTACAGCTGGTGAAACTGTAGTACGACTGTTATTGCTTGCCTGAAAAAGAACAAAACGCTGCTCACTAAATACATATTAGAACGGTGATTAAGGTCTAGTGTTTTCGAACTTTATCACAACAAAGCGATCACTATTTCGAAATCAAAGTGATTGGAAATAGAAAAAAAAGGACATAAAGAGTTTCAACAAATCGTTGGATGTGAAAGGAAACTAACTTTTGGTGAGTGGGACACCTGTACCGCAGGTGACTGTCTTGCAACCGATGCAGCACTGGTTGTCATTGCAGATGAAGCAGCAGCCAGTGTTGAAAGAGCAGCAGCAGGACCACTGTGTGGTGAACTTGCTGCAGCATTTGCAAAACTAGCTAGTGCAGCCGTACTCGGATTCATCATCAATGGATTTAATAGTGGGTTGCCCATTGCTAACAAAGGATTCGAATAAGGAAATGATGGTAAACTGCCGCCAACTGGTAAACCATTAAAACCTGAAGTATAAAATCAGACTGCATAAATACAAGCAGAAGCATAACGGCAAGGAAATAATGCTCGGTTATCATCTCGAAAAGATACTATTTATGCATAACATTTACAAAATTCACTTCAGTCACAAAAATTACCATCAGCGATAGACGTTCCAAATGACGGCATTAAAGGATTAAACGAGCTGGATACATTCGGCGTTAAGGACGTAGATGATGTTGGCCTTCGAATATGTCCAGCAAGAAGAGCTTCCTTGTTGACACAGTTGCTGAGATCATGAGGACATCTACCAACGATAGCTCGTCGAACTTCTCGTGCTGCCGATAAACGTAATTCCTTGCATGAAGCATCCGAATACCATGAGCAATGCGGAGTGTGGATGATATTTGGTACAGTCGATAAAGGTCCTACAAAATTTCTCAATTCGGAAAAATTTTGAAAACGTACAAATATGAGGAAATGATGGCAATATACCCTATTCATACTGAAGCTTAAAAACCGAAGAATGTCTTAATAGTAGTACAAAACATTACCCATGGCGAGAGGATCGAAGGGTTCATGTTCATGGACATCAAGCGCTGCAGCTCTAATGTGCCCCGATTTAAGAGATTCACCCAGTGCACTTTCCTGAATAAGACCACCTCTCGAAGTGTTTACAACAAACGCACCCGGCCGCATTTGTTTGATTGTCATCTGTAGTTACGAGGAATCAAATGATTCAAAGATATAGATGATGTCGGTTAAAATTAAAGTATAATGAAGCCAAAAGACAACCATGGCGATATGCAAGAATATCCAATAATTCGTCTCAAAAAAATAAAAATTTTTCCAGGAAAAGTTCTAAAATTCTTTTCATCACTTTCAGTACATTCGCATCCTGCAGCAGTATACATCTAAACAAATGCGAAAATATAGATATGGGAAAAGCATTTGTCGGACAAAGCATACCCTAGCTAATGCTCAGATAGACAGTAATACGGTCTTAAGTTACGGATCTGTTTTACTTCTAAATGATCGAAGTCAAGGATCCTTTTGATAATGCTGCCGCATAGTTGAGAACCACTGACATATTTATGACGTATAAATTAGAATATAAGAGAAAAGAAAAATCATGACTCTACCCTTGCTAAGAACAGCCCAATCTAAAGCAAAATCCATGCACAACACAAGAACGAAAATCCAAAAGTTCCCAGATGTAAATCCAGTTGTTTTATTAAATACCAGGCTATTCCTACACTTTACTGAAGCAACTTTAACGCACACTATCGTTAACATGTAGTTTTTTAATGTCCAATGACCAGAAGAAAATGATAAAAGTTGAAAAACCAACATCATTGATCATATGCCTTGTTTCATCGGTTAGTGGGCAATGTAGTGTTATACAATCGGATTTGAATAAAATATCATCGAGATTGTAACAGCGTTCGATACCCAAAGACCTATCGACGCCTTCTGGTAAATGTGGATCGAAAAAGCAAATTTTGAATCCAAATGCTTTAGCACGCATCGCCACCGCTGTACCTACACGACCAAGGCCAATAATACCCAAAGTATCATCGCGAATTCGTGTACTGCCACTAGCCAATTCACGTACCTGCTCTACACCGCTGACCTAAAAATGCAATATGATGCCAAGTAAAATCAATCATTTGTATTCCTGTTACAACCCACAACGGAAAATATTGGGACAGTTAGTGAGTTCGCTAAATCTTTCCGAAATGATCTGTGAAGCTTCAAAAAGAAACCACACTGAATAAATTTTGATTTTGATACTTCCTCAAATTACTGAACCCATCTGGTAAGAAATGAAGAACTAGATATAACCTGCAGTATGATATGATATGTATGAAGTGTAAAAGAACCTTTTTCCCTTCGGAAACTGCTTTTGCCAACCAAAACGTCTTCCTATACATATTTAAAATTAACGATATTGTTGTATCGGCTACTTCTTCAACACAGTCACCGGGTGTGTTACATACAGCAATCCCTGAAAAAGAATCCAATAGCAACCTTGATTCATGACTGATAAGATTTACTGGTGAAACAAATATTAAATTCAAGAAAATGGAAAAAAACATGTCCTTTTATGCTATCACTAAAACAACACACACACACACAAAAAGACACTAAGAGGAAAAACAAAGACCTAAAATGTGACAAAGATTTGTTAAGAAGAAGAAATCTGCCCAGAGGATCTGTTTCCACTATCAATCGGTGAAAGATGTAATCCAAGATGATGGACCCTAGTCCAGTATGATATGTTAAATTTCTTATACTCACAGCAATGGGTAAGACACTGCAAAGAGTGACCACTACCCAAGAAGAAAAGTTACTGATATTTAAACAAATTTCTGAACATATCATTTTTTGAGGGTGATATATTGGATGGTTACTAATTAAAATGAAGACATACATATGTATGGATAATCTTTCCAAAGTATCTCGACCACAATGAACTCAGAGACAACAACTTATGCACTACCTGATCCATATCGTGAATTGAGTATCCAGAGAATGCTATGGGAGAATTATATATGCAATGGAAAGTAAACAGTGATAAGTTCATCAACAGCATTCAACAATTCCAGGTACATAGAGAGAACTAAATGGAATAATTCATATGCTTCAGTTTAAATAAAGTACATTCTCTACCGTCTCGTAACTATCAATAAAATGCAGATTATAGCACCATTTCGTCTGATTACTATCAGTGGTCAAAATAAGAATTTCGCTAAGGGAAAGTAACCGTTCTTCTAAAACACTGACAATTTTTTATATGAGTAGGAAAGATTAGTTCACTAAATGTTTTGATATCTAAACCCATCCCATATCTGAAATTCAGATGTGCTCATCCTATATTTGAAAAGATCCAGCTATTTGAAACAAAATGGATTTAGGAATGCGAGGAAACAATCACCGTAATTCTACTTGCTCGGGTCTCCTAGTGCAAAGTTTTCCACTTCGTTTTGGGTTTAAATTTCTGAAGCATATTACTGGCTTTAAAATATTTCAACAACCAAGTCATCTAGATCCTTCAATAGACTTACAAAAAGCACACTTCACAAAAAAGAAATACCACTAAAACGCACCTTATATTCATTCATAAATAAATAAACCTACCGAGATCTGTTGCCGCCTTCACGTCAATATTATCAGTACCTGTTCCGATCCGTACAACTACCCGCAGTGCTTTAAATTTTTCTAAATCTTCGCGTTCAAGTGTTATTGAGTGCCACATCAGTGCAGCAACCGCTTCATTAAGCACCTAAAATTTTTAAAAATGACTGTGAAAAATAAGCTAAATTAACATATTAACATGTAGTAGATATACTATGATATTTATCAAAAACCCATACCTTTTCATGAATTTCATGAGTAGATTGCGCGTCACAGAATGCTACTGTTGCAACATCCTTCAAAATTGGCATTTCAACAGTACAATCCCGACCGTCGAGAAGTGCAACGAGTGGGCGTCCCGTGGCACCATTCGACATACGACCACTCACTGTAAGTAAAGTGGCTAATAAATGTATCATACGCATCATTTTTACCAGATTCGTAACATTCATTAAATATTGGAGAAGGAACACCCAATATGTCGTAAAGAAAAGGAGTACATAATATATCACTAATATGTCGTAAAATTAGAGACAATCATGAAAGAAGATTGGAAATCATTATGTTACAATGCATTTATAACCTACTAAAGCAACATTAGCCCTTTATATACTGTTTACCAAACCGTTTAGAACACCTTGCTCTATGCGTACTGCTTTTGTACCTAACACAAAAAAATAAAAACATGAAAAAATAAATTATATTTCACCAAATATAAAAAGTATTCTTTTCACCAGGAAAAGTTTATCAAAGAAATCTATTGTAGTGAATATGGATGGAAGCTAGGGCGAACAAAATGCCAAATCATGTCTTTCGGGGTTGCCCAAATTCTATTCTTATGCTAATAAAGTGTCCTCCATTGATCCATCATCAGAAAAAACACTACTCAGTAAGAATAGATTACACGATTAAATATAAAGCACTATGGCGAGATTATATATAAGAGAAAAATTGAATATATTACTAATAATTATACTGGAAAAGTAACTGTTACTGCACTGATATTGTTGCACTCCGAGCTGACTCGAAGTGGGGTTTAGTATGCTCCTTTTCCAAATCCAGGAATAACCTCCAATGCATGAAGGAGTAATAAAACAAAAGAACAAACTAGAGTAACTATTCAATAACATAAATGCACATCACTCAACGATAAAAAAACTCTGCTTACTGGTTAGTATATTTGCGACGAAATGATTGTGTCTGAGGTCAGCTGAAGATTCGGCCGATGCGGCGGCAGCAGCAGCAGCAGCAGCAGCAGCAGCGGCAGCAGTTGTAGTAGCAGCAGCGTTATTATTGTTGGAGGATGATGGAAAGCGAAGTGAGCTGCACGGAGGGTTTGAATCTATAAGAGGCGCTCTTGTTAATTCACTCACATACATACACATACACAGACATACTCTCAGTTGCTCATGCAAAAGGAAGACGCCAAGATGGGTGGGCGGGTGGCTGGGGCAGCGCCCCCGCTCCCCCTATAACATCACCACCAGCAGCTATATAGAATTCAGAACAGGACGGAGTAGGATGAGTGTGGGCTTCTTGTTTAGGATAAGGGACTGATGGATGGATAGATGATGACTCGATGCATGCCATATGTATATGGTGATGTCCAACTACTTAACCTCCCCCACGCCCTTCCTTCTCCCTGGAGACCTGCTGACCTTTGTCCTTCGGTTAACTGCTTAGCGATGATGCTATTTCTTGCTATGACAGGTGCGAATCGGAGTTACAATCTGCAGTCACTCGAACAACTACTACTAATTCATAAGCAGTGCCTGAGGGTGCATTTACTGCTAACCTCTACATGGCATCCTCCTACTCCTTCCAAGTATAACTTCACATTCACAATTCTCCCCCTCCTCATCATTTATTTCTTCCAGCCGCAGAAATTTTTAATGAAACGTGGACTGTAAGTAACTCAGTCATTGAGAAATCCAAAAAGAAGTCGCTATACTTATCAAGTAACTTAAAGAGAACATCTCGAATTTTTAGATATCGTCCACATTTATCCCTAAGTCTAAAACCACTGCCAACTAGAGAGCTCATTTATGTACTTCGTAGAAACGAAACAGATGTTATTGCTATCAGTCATGATAAACCAGTGTACAACTTTCCTACTATTACATAATCTGTTACCTTTCAGCATTAGCAAATCCTAACGGTGGTTATTCTGTCAGAAATTATCCAAATTTTTGTCGTCAAGTAATGCAGCAGTGCTCACTGCATGCATTCAGCATTTAATTTAGCTGCCGGAATTGCGATAGTCAAGCCCATCTTTCCATCCGAGGCTTTTCATGCCCTCCCTCTTCTTTCCCTTCCTAAGCTTTCTTCACGCAGTTTTCTGCATTATGAAAAGACAAGGATTTAGAAGTGACGCTTTAGTATGATTAATCACCAGTCTTATAACTCCTAAGTTGAAAATTTACTTTTGGCAAATGGGATCATGACAAACGATGATATTAAACAAAGACTGGAAAAAAAAATGAGTGAGAAGGAAATACTAGAGAACAGACAACGTCAGAACACCTTGTGTCTTTACAAAAGAACAAAATCGGATTTCAGGGAACAATAGCTGTTATCATTAGTATGTCCCATAACAGAAGCTAATTAGGTTGCATAAATGACGAACGAGTTTCACTATTTTTTTCCCGAGGGAACAAACATTTATGCGCATTACAAGACAATACCGTTTTGCTCATGAAGGATTTTTTCTAGCATATTAATAGCCGTTCCGTTACTTATAATTAGATGCTTAACATGTCCCACGCTAAATGGACGAACCGATCATAAATTTGCTTGGAAGAGTCGTTACAGCAAAATGAAAAAATTAATAAAGACGGGTTGCCAGGGCGATTATTTGTAAACATACCCAGCATATATATATATATATATATATATAAACAGAGTCAAGGGACATCCAGTAATGTCCATATATAGAACTTTAAAAAAAAAAACAAACTGAAAATGACCTTTGATTAATCTAACTTCGGAGTATTAATGAGAAATAATTCGACATCTAATGGTAAATGCCATAATGTCGCCAAGTAAGAGACAGCGATGCAGGGGAATTGCAAAAAAAAGAAAAAACCAGAAGTGACCGTCAGTAACAGAGCGATTCTTCCAGCTAGCCAAATAATCAGCGGTGACCGCCAATGAACGACCTCGTTTCACGGAGGTGCTTGCAGCGGAGCTATTAGAGCAGGGTGTAGAACGAGCTGATGACCTCGGCTGCTGAAGAGCTCGTCGTCGATCGCTGCTTTTTGTTTCTTTTGGCGGGAGCTCAATCGAGATCGGTGCGTCCAACTGCAACAATACCTCTGTGAATTTATTTTATTGCATCACCCCACCCACCTAACACAGCCACATTCCCCCTCCTCTACCCTTTGTCTTCCTCCACTATCAACTATCCACTTTCATCAAGAATCGGACATACATAAGCATACTTCCCGGCTCCAAAGTAATAGGCTAATATACCATCTTGTCATCCTACATGCCGCTGCTTTTTCCTATCCTTCCTCTTCCTTTCTTGTAAGTTCGATTATTCATCCTTATTTTAGATCAGCGACATGGCGTCCTGCACCACCACGAGGGAAGCATGCTGATTACTAGACCCTACAGTTTTGATAATCCGGTACGACAGGTGAGTCTTTGACTGCTGATAGCTGAAAACTCTTAATAAGAAAAAATCTGGACAGAGTTTTTCAGTTACGTCATAATGAGTATCCACAAAGCGTAGTCCTGTGAACATCATTCCAAAACACTGCGGAAAGGGAACTAACCTGTGGATCCGGCACAGGAATATCACCTTCCTTTTTCTCTCCCCCTTCGAAATGTGCTGAACAAATGCGTAGCTGAAATGAAATTCTCAGTGAATATACATGCAAATTCTATGAAGATGAATGATATAAAGACTGTTTTCTACTTCCAAAAATGAATGGAAGCAAAGAAATGCTTCAAAATTGCAACCTCAAGACAAAGGGAATTCTCAAATTATTCAAATAAAAAGGGCAAGATAACACCGCCACCTTATCTAAAAGTTTTCCATTATCAGAACTGCCCTTTGAAAACAATCATTTCAACACATGAAACGAGTTTATAGGAATTCGTCCAATGTCAAGATGGGAATAAAGATGGGTAATTACGCAGAGAGTAATTGAAAGTAAATCAAAAAAGAGCTTCTGGGAGTTTATCATGCTATAAATCTAACATGTGAATGCCAAGCAAACTAATTTGATAAACTATTGATACAGGATATAGACTCTTGCAACAGTCAAGAAAATATGAAATTTCGGAAACAAATTGCACAGTGAAGATCCATATCTGCGAATGGGAAATAGCCTTCATTATGATTCCTCGGCTCGATCATACGGAGTGATCACTCTATCGATTTTGATGTTCCACAAACAGAATTCTACTTAGATAAATCAAATGCTGTCATCCATTCTTTGTTCGCTAAAAAGTTCTAAAGCTCGTTTGCCAAAGTGATTTTCTCAAACTGTATGTTACGGTTGACCATTTCCACAAATTTCGATAAGGTCAGTAGATATATTATGTCACAACTCTTGAACCTTTTTATGCGGATTCCCAATATCCCAGAAACCGTACAAAACTAATCAAGGCGCATTCCTCTTCTCTCGAATCACCGGCAGTGCTACAGCTATGTCTGCGGACGACATCGAAGTCACGAATGGCTCGAACATCATCAGCCTCTCATTGCAGGCTGAACACGTCGACACTAAACACTGAACTGCCTTTTTTATTTGTTTGAACCTTCTGGAAATGTGCCCTGCCACGTTCTGACATGATTTAGTCTTGTTGCGATATGATGCTCAAGTTGGATTCCACAGAAAAACGCATATCTTACAATGTGTTTGAAAAAGATCGTTTACTAAATTAAAATAGTCAACCAACCCAATCACTTCCATTGCTGACATTTTATACTTCATGAATTTCATGAAGCTGTTTCCTGTCCAAGTATTTAACACTTTCAGGAAATCCAATCTGGAGTGTGGAAGATAACAGCTTGTAATGATGAAATATATTTTCCAAAATCAATCCAAACCATAACTTAATCAATTGTTAAACATAGCAACCCGTCTTTTTCGAAATATTCATAAAATCGTAATCGATGAGAAATCTTCACAAGGAATGCTGAATGACCAAAGGTTATAACATTCTTGATGATAACTAAATCTAGCAAGCCTGAACCACTTCACATATTAGGCTAGTTCAGAACGATTCATTATACTGGATTTGTTAGGTTTTGCATTTTTAGAATCGAAATTTCAACCAAATAACAGTGTTCCAGTTCTATGATGATTCTTTAAATGACGTTAAAATGAAGAACAAATAACACAAACGAACGTCTATTGTACTAGTAGACACGAAAGAGGACAATGTTCTAACTTTTGCATCCGCATACTGATAGTAAAATTAATTAAAATACCACGAATTCAGAGCAAGAATATTGGGTCCGAATACAAATTAGTACGAAGTGTTTTTTTCATTTTCTTTTGAGAGTAAATATTGCAATTTACATATGTGTGTTTTGACTGTTTTACATCAATTATTTTTGGTTTTGGGAAACCTAAGAAATTGTAGCTCCACTGAGCATCATTCGTTATAAGTTATCAAATGCTATATTTGAGAAATTATTCCAGGTTCTAAAATTGCTTAAGTGATTCATGCCATCCACAAGCGAATTAGATTACTATCAAAATCTGTTTTGTGTTTTAAGGATTTCCCATTAGGATCATTTTATTACAATGAAACGGATATATAGGTAAGGAAATAATAAATATACATGAATTGCAATATTTACCCGGAAAAAGAGGGGCAAAAAGTTATCTGAAATCAAATGACTGTCAATTATACGGCGCTTCTCAAGCAATAACACTTTAAAAGTCGCGAAGTTTTTATCCTCAAACACTTCTTGATTGCAAAACAACAAGAGCAGTTTTACGTTAATGTACTTGAACTGAATGCAAAAGTGATGAGTTCTACAGTTTTATCAAATATACTCATTCGCTGACACACTAACCATGCATAATTGTGATTCACAGAAGTGTTCATTGAACAGATAAGAACATAACACATACATTTCATACAATTACTATTCTAATATATCAAACAGTCGCCAAACAACGAAAAGAAAAATCAAATTTTCAAAAAAAAAAAGCTTTGGGAGAGGTGATTAATGCATTCTTACCGGTAGGAAACATGTAGTGAAGAGTGCTCAGAGGTGGCCTTGTCGAGCCTTGTGCTCCACGTTTATACAACACGCTATCTGCAAACCGACATGCGTATACAATTTCACATTTCTCTAATTCATAAACTTTTTATAAAATGCTACTATGGGTCATTATTGTACTTCTATTTATTTTACTCCACACGTCAAAATTAGAAAGGAAAATTAAGGCTCCAAACTCATCTTCCCCGCCTCATAGGAATTTGATATGATCTATGAATCTTAGAACACCTAATACAGAGTAACCATGCAGCAACTATTGAAATTTAAAGATCGGACTGCGTCAGTAATTTTTGATATACAAGTAGGAAGAGAGGTAGGCTTTTTTGGTGAAAAATACATCTGCGGATTAGCCAATGCTATGCTTCATTATTCTCCTTTCATAATTTATGTTGGAAGTAGTTTGATTTTACAAGCTGTATAAAGAATAAATCTAAAGAAAAGTTGGTGGATGTCCTGGGAAAAGAGTGGGATAAAGCATATATTCAAACATCTTATCAGAAGCAACTGAAGGACAAAGTCCTCACAAAATTCCGAAGCAAATTCATTACTTGTGTATATGTGAGCAAATATGGGATAGAAGCAGCATTAACTTAGCCGAACTTTAATAGCTGCGCCGACGGAAGCAAACACTTTTAAAAAACTAATCGTCTTCAGTTGTCTTAAGTAATGAGATACGGTACTGGACCGGAATCATATCATTTTTGAGATATTTCTATATTGCGTACTCTTTAAACATGCATGCAGTTAAATACCCAAATACAATCGGGCTTCCCATAACATATGGTGGGAGATGCTAAAGTAATTGAGGTTTTGAGTTACAAACCATAAGTCATCCATACCACTCTTCCAGTTTTGAGAAAGAGTAAATAATCAGAGTACAACTGCTTTGAAACTTTTTTCCCGCTTTCTAAAACTATTGGAACTGAAAAACTCATTTGTTTGTTTCCGGCTTTTGAGTAAAAGTAAACACAACTGAATTATGTAAACCTGGACAGAGAATAGAAAGAAATGAATAATTAATTATAAAGAACTGGAAGCAGCAAATCAAAGTAGTGGGTTCGATAACATCAGATCAATGTCAACATCTCCTTTTGACGGTTAATATACGTTAGACAAATTTTTAATTTATTACCCACTTCTGTAAATGAAAAAAGATCACAGCCATCTATTAAGTGTATGCACTGCAGCATTCTTAACAAACGATAATGAAAGTGCATTATGACTACTGAGGCGACAGTTCCACCCGAACATTTTAATAACTTGATAACTTTTGAATGATTTCGTCCTAGAGACACGGACTGACAAAAAACAGTGTTTTGAATAAATCATTTCCAGTTGAAAATAGAAAACAAAAAGCGCTTCAGCACATTTGGGAAAGTCCTGCTTTCTCCTGAAAAAACACTGATAAACTCGTATCTATTCTAACCCAGCTAAAAAGAACATAAGCATCTCACTTGGAATGTTGCGCTCTAATAAGCTTTATCTTGGATGGAAAATAGCTTTACCCAGAATTAAATCTGTACCTTCAACTCTTTTCGCACTATGACTGCCATTACAGCCACCAGCAGAAAATGAAATGACAGTATATTGAAGGTTCCTTAATTTTATAGTTGAAAGCTCAAACTGAACTCGATTAAATAAGTTAATAAAGAATTTAACATTAATTTACCAAATGCACATGAATAAAGGAAGTGAGAGCAGTTTGAAAGCTGCTCATAAAACAATTCAGAACCGGTAGAATTCAACGGAACCAATTTCAAAACTGCTCAATATGATGAATTCCCGTTTACGACCATTATGGCGATGGTGATGTGAAACTTTTTCACTCGAACTAAAGATATCAAAATTTAATATTAATTTACCAAATGTACCCGATATCTTTACTTTCTAGACCATTTCTTTTCGATTCTAAATTTGAGCGCAAAACATTTAATGTTTAACCATTAATGACTTAAACTTATTCTGACTTGCATAAGTACAGGGAAGTTGACCTTTGGCCAAAGCATCCTGACCTTCAGATCAAAAGTCGATAATGGTGCATAATGATGCGAATGAGACGCTTCCGTGAACGTATTCGTTTAATGCATTAAAATGACTTAGGATGCAGCATGAATAAAAGACACGATGCAGAAGAAAGCAGTAGCAGCAGTATAATCAACAGATCCTAGTAGGGGAAGTAGAAATTCACATGTTGAATTCGATAAAGAATAGCCTGAAGAGTCGAAAAAGTGTGAATCGCATTCAGTTAACAATTAGTGATTTCCGGGTGCGGCGCCTAGGAGGACTATCCTGTTTTCACTATACCTTTATAGGTGACAAAAATAAAAATGTTACACTTCACACTTTTATTTACACCAATTTAGCTGCTTACTTTTTTTGACTTCAAAGAGTTCATTTCATGTAAATAAAACGAATATCTTTGAATGATGAGTAAGTTTTCACGAAAAGCAGTTATGCATGCAAGCATAGAAATAAAACATGCAAAATTGTGAGCATGAATATGCATTTCAGCATGCTCTTTGTTTCGTAAGGGTGGGTGACATGTACACAGGAAGCAATACAACGGGTACATCCTGACCTGTGAAACAACGGTATCCTCGGTTCGTCCAATTGCAAGTAACCAACGTTGCCGCAACACCTGTGGTCGTTTGGGTATTCGATAGAAATGTCGATTATCTTCTTGACCACGATAGCGGGATCGAAATTTACAATTCGGGAAGCCACAGGTGGTAGGCATCAGACATGCGCTGAACGTAGCAGCGCGCTGCAACCATTTAACACATCCACAACTGTTAATTTCATTAAGCTAACACCAATATCTACAGTAGCGAGAAGACAACAGTCCATTATGGAATAACCATGTATGAAGTATACAGCGTACGTATACAATGAGGAAGCATGAAGAATATTAGCATCTATACTTGGATTGATAAAAGGTATTTCACACTTTGCCTCTCAAGTAGCAGCAGTACCCCCCTCCCCTATACTACTTCATTTGATAATTACGGATTACTTATCATTCTACTTCTATCCCCACAACACTCACCTTTAGGCGTCAAAATTAATCTCATATATCTCTTGACCGCAATGGTAACATTCCCCCTACAACAGTAAAACTCCTGCAAAAGTTCAAAACAGTCCCATCTCAACGCTTTCAATTTCTTCACCAGTAATCTGAGCCATTTTATTGACTTTTATTAATTTTCTATGTATCTTTCTGGGCTTTTTAAGCCTCAGCTAATTTTCGCTTATTCTGGAAATATTTTGGTGCTAAAAAAACCCCCCTTCACTAAATCACTATCTCTGATTTAGTTTGCGCCACAATTAATCAAGAAATAACCTATCATTAGCAGGAACAAATATAGAAGCTAGTCACTGAAATACTGGATAACAAGGATGCAGCAGCATACGTGTATACCCTTTTAGTTGGCTATAACTTCATATGTAAGCACAAAGCTAACAACAAATTTCAAAGCAATCACAGAAGCATTTAAAAATCTGTGCGTGGAACAACCACAATATCTAGCATCTAACATCTCGCTTCAGCGTACGTCCCTGCAAACTATTTCATTCAATGTTCTTCTTTATTAAACGGAACTTTTATACTTAAGTAATCTGTTGAAGGAAGAGTGGGACGGAGGGATGGGAGCAGAAAGGTGGGAAAACGGGAAGGAGGTCACAACTTCAAAAAGATTTTACAATAAGAAATGAATTAGAACGAATAACCAATTGCATAGAATACGCAAACTATTTGAAAAATTAAATTTTTGAATATTTAATCGGGTTTGGAAGTGGTCTTATACGGTAGTAAGCGTGAAACAGGAGATAAAGCAAGACACGAAATGACTAAGACGATGTGAGATGTCATGTAAATGTCATCAATTATAACGTGCTGTGAATCTGTGCATCATTTTCCATGTCACCAGGATGCAGCATTTAGCCAGTGCACATCTAAGGCCAGATTTCGGTTTTCAATTTTTAAAATGCATGATATTCTGCTTCCAATAGCTTAGTATTTCCAGTAAAAAGTGCGGCAACATATCACTGCTTCGTTAAACAGCAAGAAGATATTTATTGTGGAAGAATAGCCAAGCCTGAAAACAACAGGCACTACAATAAACAGATAATAGTAGTTATGAAAATTGGTGGTTGTGGATGATGCCAAGAATATTGTCTCGAAACGAGACTACGACTGCGGATACTATAGGAATCGAATATATTAATGGGCACCCGGAACAGAAAAATGCTGTGACTGGAACCAACTAGTAATATAAAACTAGGCAACTACTACCAGCAGCAGGTGAAGACAGTGGATCGTAGTGTTAGGCAATGGAGCTTAATGACCACAAAGTGAAAAGAAGTGCACTGAGGAGAGCCTCATCATCAAGGCGCACCACAAGAAGTGCTGCCGTCCGGATTGAATTACGGGCATTGCCGATTACACGGTCTCTCCTCTTCTCAGCGGCCACAAACAAAAATCGAATGGAAGGAGCAGCCGGCTGCAGCGAAATTTAATCCATGTGCCTCTTCGGGGCGAGTCGTCCACTCCAACTATACTCATCAATCAAAGTTAAATCTTCTACTCGACAGGTATCAATATACCACTAATGAGCTGAGCTAGAGGATAAGAAGACCCAACTAGCTCTCACTTTGGCTCATGAGAAGGCGTCTCTATACTCACTAGGCTCCCAATGCAGACACCCATAATCCATCCATTCCTGTCCTCACCAGTAGCAAATGCCGCCACTCTTCCCTGACTCCATTATTTGCACCCTTCGTTCATCCAAACCACTCTCATCCATCCATGGACCATCTCTAAAATGTCCTCATCCTACTACGTCACTTGTTTGTGCCACCACTATTGCCACTACCACCTCCTCCTTCTCATTCTTCTTACCGTTATCATTGTGGAAACCACGACTGGACTCTTCGCTTCCCTTTCCTATTAATTAATCAATGCAGTGCAACGCCTAAGGCTAAAACTTTTATTAAGCAATGCTTCTTAGTCAGCACAACACATTCGCTGTCGCCACCGCCATCAGCGCCACGTCCCTAGGCAAGATGGATCTAACCACGTACACCACGATACACCACACCGCCAGCTCCAACGGCCCTCTAGAAGTTAAGAAATAGCAACACAAGACTCTCCATTTCTTCTTCCCTTCCCTCATAAATATCTTGCCGCATCTCGCATACCACACCACACTACCACGACCACTTCACTCGCACCTCACTGTAACTGAGGACGAGTGCTTTCCTTAACCGAGCAAGTTAGCACTCATTAAACAACTTTTTACCATGAAAAGCTGTGGTTACTGCTACTGCTGGCTTTTCCAGATATATCGTCAAATTCAATAGAAGTGTGTCCCACTCCTGAAACCAAATGCCCAATTCAGCTATTTCACACAGATTCTTCCCTTTATTCGGAAGTCATCAGAACAACCAATGTCTCTCATCCAATGGCACTCACTCACCAACAAATCCAATCAATTTAAAAACTTAATCTCATCTAAGGTCCCTCCTCTAAAACCCCGCATATTTCTTCACATCTGTTAGTTTCCTAACATTTCATCCACAACTTACTTACATAAATAAATGTATATAATCAAATAGCAGCGTCCTGAAAAACAAGACGTGCACCCCTGTTCAGGGTGGGGGCAAATTAGAAGGAAGGCAGCTTATGACAGCTGACACAGAAAAGAGAAGCCATCCGTATCACGTTTACAAGTATGACTATTAAAAAATTTCATAATTACCGTGTCCAATAAACTAAACCTTATATTTCATTACTTTTCAACTAGAATACAGGAAAGCTGTGAGTCTACAGATATATCTTTCCCTTTCACAAAAGAAGAATGTCCTTTAGAAGGCTAAAATCACAAGAAGATGTCAAACAAAAACAAGACATTTACATTTTCCTGATCAACGAGAAATGTGATACCAATGTAATGACCTTATCTGCATCGAAATATAGCTGCAGATTAGCAAAATTAAATCGGATCAAATTATGAAAATCTCATAAATACACAACTACTATATGGTTGAACCAGGAATGATTTTTTTTAGTTTTGCTCGTACATATTTTCTTTGTATGCTTGCCACTTTAAAACATATATTTTCTGTGTTTAACATTGTTCCCACTCCTTAAGCATGATGATGTCTCTTAGTTGAACTCTGTAGAAAATTTTTAACAAAGTGGTATACAAAGTAGCAACAATGGACTGCAAAACGCAATCCAAAAATGAAGCAAATGGCCAGTACAGTACAGCGCACGGTATACCTTTAATACAGTACGACTATACATTATTAACTTCCTACTTCACATGTTCGTATACTGTCAGTGCAAGTAGCTGTAACGCAAAAGGAAGAACTTCGTATGATTTAAATCGTGAATTAAATTAAAAAAACAGTTGATGTATCTGGTGGTTCGTACAATGAAATACCATACTTGTAAAACAAGATTTACTCTCTTAAAATCAACTTCTACATTTCCGACTTTTCGATAATTAAAAGAAAGTAGGAACGAAATAACGAAAAATTCCTTTAAGTCCAAAGACAGGGAAAAACCGAAGAAGCAGAAAATGAATCATATTGTGAAATTCAGGCATGAAGCGTCCATTAAAAAAAAGCATATCAAAGTTTAGAGGAAATGAAATAAAGCCTTCATAATCAAACGAACTTATCTTTGTGCAACAGTGAACTAAAAAATACAGGAGTTCGACCCGCTACAAAGGACCTTTTAAATGCCTTCATTCTCAATATCAGCGGGTTATAAGTTGTGGATATGGATCATACGGATCATTTGTAAGTGAAGTCAGAGTTAAAAGACTACCTTTAAAAATACCTCCCTAATACTAAGAAGACCTGTAAGATGTGCAAAGGAAGAGATGGTACAGAATTCTTACCCACCTGTAATGTGATACATGCATCTAACAAGGTGCAAAGTAATTTCTTCCGTTATTATGATCGAAAATTTTCGGAGAAAAAAGGAAAGACGAAGAGTGAAAGAAATCATGCTGTATCCAATTAAACAATTGCATAATAACAAATCCTAAACTTACCGACTGTCAATTTATCGCCCAATTTAATGTTTCATTCCTCGGAAGATGCTGAAGACTGAAGAACATCAACGAACACAACTCCGTATATTCACACTTTCCCTAAAGTCTCTGCAATAGAATTGAAGGAATTAAGACAGGAATATTTGCTGCATATAGAAATTTGAAAAATACACGAAATACAATTACTAAATACTATTCGGGAGTTAGTCATCCCTTTCACATATGCTGCCTGATCGGAAAGGAAGCGAGTAACCCGAGACCCGAGAAGTCTTGGAAGTAGAGCAACTTTATCATGAAGCCTTGCATGAAATTACAAAACTAATCAAACAAAGGCCCTTGAGAAACGTTTAGACGTGAACACCGTCCATATCCTCAAAATCCCAGACAATAACTTCGAAAAAAAATCCGAATCTTGGGAAACCCCTCGTTTGCCTCAGCATTTGGCCTGCATCCAGCAAATGTCTTAATTGCAGCGCTATATTAAAGTCTTGTACCCTCCCGCCTTCCTGTACGGTAGGGGGCGGGTAGGTTTCCGAAATTTGTAAAAGTCGGGGAGTTGCAACATAATTGAGGAGGACATATAGAATTGAACTATAATCAATGCAGTCAATATGTTTCCTTAATGTATCGCCTTGAAATTTGATCCGAAGTCCTGCAGGAATCGGACTCTGTAAAGCTCAACTGTCGTGTTGTTTTTTAATCAAAAAGTTTGAAAAATCATTGAAATTTCCGAAACAATCTCTTACCTGTTTATTTTATTGTAAGATTTTAAAAGTTTGATGGACTGAAACAACAGCACTGTGTATTTAACGAACATTGCTGATTGTTGCCATGGTATCAGAAGAAGCATACTTCATCTTCCAGTTCCGTAATTCCAGTCCCATAGTTACTTTTTTTCAGAAATTCTTGCCTCTGTCAAAATGATTCGAAAGTTTGTTTGAATTTTAAGACCTCTTGTTACTAATCAAACAATGACACACCAATCGGTGGTGTATACCCACGTGATGACGAGGCTTACAGCTGTCATATCCAGAGTATTTTGCCCCTCAAGTACACTTGTTAATCTTTCAAATCATTTTTAAATCTAACAGATTGACAGTTTAGATTTGAAAACGTCTGTAGATCCGTTGCTGAAGGATATCATTGGTTTTGAGCAAATTTGATACAATATGGAACAACTCAATGTCACCATTCAAAAAATAATATTTTTGGGTAAGATATACTTTTTCAACAAATGTGCTTCTGATTCGCAAACTGCTACCTATGCTACTTAAACTAAACTGGGTCATATCAGATTCATCGATGAAAATTGAAAACCTGACCTGTAGAAATCAAATGTCAAACTATCCTATATGCGTCACTCAGCTATCCTAAATTGGATACTCGTATTCTCCATACATACATATAAATATAGGAAGAATGGATATCGATTCAAAGTTTTCAGGGGCAATTCGAGTTGGCAAAAGTACGATCGTGAAAATATTAACTCGGAAGTACAATTTTAGTAGTAAGGATTATGAGATGGTAAGATCTAACAACAAAATTTTTTAGTTTTATAATCAGAACATTACGAAAGTAATGTTGATATTAAGGACAAAGAAGTTCACGGCTTTATTCTGCATTACTTATTTCAGAATGTAAGACATTTTTTTTCTGTGCAAAATATTTTAGACTCAAGGTGTAGAACTGTATGATAAGGCATTAGAAGTTTGTGGACATACCATGGATACAGTATTAGTAGATACTGCGGGCCACGAACTTTACAAGTGGATCGTCAAATCAGTATGCGACGAAAATGCTTTTTACGCACTCTGTTTCGATTTTACCAACAAAGATAGCCTTGATATTTTAAAGGCATATCTTGAAGAAATGAGCATCCAGAAAAGTAAATTATTGCTTTTCGGAACTTAATGGGTGGTTTGAGTTTTATGCCTTTTTTATTTTTATGTGCTTGTTAGATTAATATGCTTAAAAGTGGAATTAAGCAACGAAGCATTTCACTGACCAAGTGGATGCAATATTAGTGCAAGTGTCAGGGACGCCAGATGGCGGATTTTGAATAAAATTAGTGGAATTAGCAACTGCTGCGAAAAGCGAAACTTGAGCTTTTCCAGTTGTAATAGAATCAGGCTAAGATACAATCGCTACTTTAGAATTCTATGAGGAAATGAGAAGAGGGAGTTGCAACTGATAAATCTCGATGTTTTACATTTTAAGGAAAACAACCCTGCACTAAGTCATTCAAATTTTTAGATTCTAAACGTCGAAACTTTCTGAGATTTGCAGGCGTGCTGATCGGCTGCAAGTTTGATCTGCAATCGAAACATGCCATTTCACTGTCAGCTGCCGAAGAATTCGCTATAAATAATAATCTGAAGCTACATCTCACTTCAACGGTAACTTTCATAACAAATTCCTAATTATCTCACCTTCTGGTAATTGACTTGTGGTTTCGTCTTTTATTTCAGTCTTATTGTTCCCTTGTCTGTCGCACTGCTCATTTGTTGTCAGTTAGTCCGGTGTGTCTTAAAATTATTAAAACTTCTGCAAGCACTCCAATGTTCTCCAGCTAGTCTTACATTAAACTAAAAAGAAAAAAAGAAACATTTGCTTCTTCCTTCTAACCTCTTTGTCTATTTTACTCAAATGCACGAATGTTATGAATCAAAATTTTTGTTTAGCAAAGATTCGATTGTGCCAATCAATCTTATATTCTTAGAAGTTCTTTCTTGCTTGTAAGACATAACCAAGGCATTTACATCTCAGTTACTGTCATTATCAATTAAGGTATGGCGAATCTGCAATGCGGCTGAACCACGATTTTCAAACAAGATTAATCTTATCGAATGCATCGCACATTTTTCACATGCCTCAATTCTTTTCTTTGTATAAATTCTCAGGCAGCACTTCTTTGTCCGCTTCACCTTTACATACCCAATGAACATTTGTATTTAGATGACAACGCCGACTGAACTGGAGGAACTCCTCTACAACAGTATTATGCATTACACGAGGGATGATGCTTAATAATCTCATTCAACGGTCTACTGCTATTTTCCATTTATTTCTTTTAATTATTACTGTCATTTAATCGAAAAAGTATGATTGCTTCAATAAAACATAATAGCAAAAAGTTTCATAAATGCAAAAAAAAAAAAAAGAGAAAAAGTCACAATAATTTCTCTATATGAGACACAAAACTTTACAAACAAACTAACTATCGCGAAGTGAAGTTTTTTGGGGTATAATACACGCAGATGAGTATCTTTTGCGCACATAAAGTAGCTAATAGCGTGTTGTAACAAGATATGTGCAGAAGTTTGGAATTGAAAAACACATCTCATTTCGTTCTCTCCTATGCTGCAATCCTGAAATAAAAAGTTCAGTGACATGGATAATAAGTATAGTTGTGGATATATAATATCGCGTGTATGATATAAGTATGTTATTTGAAGCGGCGCTGTACTTTACATTCCTCGTCATCATTCTTTTCATAGATGCATAAAATTACATAGTATACTTTAATTAAGATAATGGTCAACGTAAAAACAACAGGGAAATTCTGGTCTTCGATATATCTCTTGATTTCTTTTTTTGTGAATAGAAACTAAATTTCTGGTCTTGAAAAGTTTGCAACATGATCAGCTTTTCAATTGTTCAAATCTCATCTCAACCAACCTTTCAAATATTTAAATTTCATCGTCGGGAAATGAACCGAATAATGAGGTAGAAGAGTTTGAATAAAGATGAAGATCAAAATCAGGTAAGCTAAGTATTGTAATACTATTGATTATCATTCTAGAAGGGACAGTATGTCTCTATTTACAAACTTCTATGCTTTTTTTGTTAAATTAGATGAGATGGGAGAATCCGATTATTGTCGTACAAACAAATCTGACGCAAATTTTCTTGAAATGAAAAAATAAAGGATCTTATTTTGACTGACGTTATGATAGTTATCAAAGAAAATAAATGTAAATGAAGTTAACATATATTAAATACATAAATTTTAGGACGTTCTTTGCCATCAAATTTCTGTATCATAAAACTAGCGAATTTGATAACAGTTCTAACGATAGATGTCAGATTGTTATAACATATCTTTGAGCTCTTGATCAATCTGAAGCTTTATTTTGGCTATCAACAAAATTCGTTGTAAACGAGAAATGACAGGACAATTTGTGGGAATGAAACGAGATCAAAATGGCTATAATTTGAGATTTCATTTGCCCAGAATCATTTAATAACAATGAGTGGGAAACGCTCCTCATATTGCCCTGTATAGCACTTCAACTTTATCAAATACAAGTACCCTTCAATAATGCTATATAACTCTCCTAGAACACGTATAACTTCATGTGACATTTAAAACATGTTGCTATTGCAGCCAAGCCAATAAATTGACTGAACTGAATTAACTGGATGTAGGTAAACAATTGAAATGATTCAAGATTGCGGTGTAATAACTGATTTATTTTAATACATCAATAAGATCTCGTTTGAGTTTTCAATTGACCAATTTTTCATTTGGCTAAGATTACTATCATGAATTTTAGTCAACTAAAAATCAAAATTTGGTTATCACATGCAAGTGGCTAAGCCGTCCATATATCTCTTATTTATTGGTTTTTTTTTCTTTTTTTGTGAAATTCTTCGAGAATTTGACGTTTTTGAAAGTTTTTAGTAAAAGCTGTCAGCATCAAGGAAGCTTATTGGTAATGCTATTTTGAAATGAACATCGATATATATATATGTATAATGTTTTAAACTTTTTTGTTATCGCATAGTAGATCGTTCGGGAAAGTGTGAAAAGAATGCGAGTTGAAAAAGTGGTTTACTTTTAGAGTCGAGTTTGTACTTTTTACCGAGCTAATGTAAAATTTGACGGGAAACGAGTTGACTTAAAGACTTGAATAGTTATTTAGCCAGTAATGTCCCAAATCGAAAGTATATCTACACAGAGTGGAAACAGAGGTATAATTTTTGCCAAAGAGTTCAGAAAAGCGGTTGTAGTCAATAGTCACAATTTACAATCCCTTAATTTCACTAAACCTAAATAGAGTTAACGCACCAGAGAATGAATTTAGAATGCTGTCGTAGGGTTCGTAGAATTTAGTTTAAGGTATTGAAATCAAAGACAAAAAACTTAAAGATTGTTTTCTCAATCTCTGAATCAATATGAAATACAGTGTAATGTAATTTTTGACGAAGTTGAGCAAATAATCTGCTGAAATACAGGAAGAATGGATAAAAAGAACTAACCTAATATGTAAGAACGTTGTATGAACAGCCAAAAATATAGACAATACTTCAAGACTGGCCAGCAATTTATTGGAATTCGATGTTCTCATAAATAATGCTGTCCAAAATATTCCTAATATGGTGCCACCATTTGCACTATTTGCCATTAGGCAGCAGATATAGCTCAAAGGAAGTAAATCATTAGCAGAGCGGTGAGAATGATATAACTGTTTAGTAGGAAGCAGTGATTTGTTCTTACACAACTATTGAATATAATAATTGTAAATCTTTCAAGGAACAAGAAATGGGCTTAATTTTTCGACTCTTTGAAAATAAAGAGGAAAAAAGTTGATTTTAGCCTGTCTGCTTTAATGAAGTAACTTTTCAAGAAAAAGGACGCTTTGTTAAAGTCATTGGAAATCATATAACAAAGCAAAATTTTGATACGTGATTTTAACAAGCCGAGCAAACTGTGTGATAGCAAAAAGTATAGGCACTAAATGAACTTAAACAGATATAGTCGGAATGTTTTCCGATTAGACCGTTCAACCAGCATTGCTTCAATTCATTATTCATATTACCAGTGTACAAAGTTCAGATAATGCATCAGTACGGTGCTAAAAACAATTTAGACTTTCTTCTCTCTCATTTATTTCTGGATCTGAAAGCACTGACAGGATCAAAGGTTCAGTGCTTGGTAGAGATACACCAATCAACGAATAGCAATACATACAACAGTAGCGCCGATTTCTCACATTAATGTATGATTTGCAACAGTTAAGTGTGCTTATTTATGCATCAGTTGACCTCATCTTAAACAAAGTCTACAACAAATCATCTATTGAGAAATCCTAACTGTTTATAAAATACGATCTATTTTAACGAACAAAAAAAAGAAAAAATTTGTCAGATCCTAAAGACCTGAAGAGTAATTAAGGAATATTGAAAAACAAAATAATTCTAAAATATTTTCATAAAATTCCCTCTGAGCTGGAAAGAAAAAAAAAAGTTTATTAAAAAACTGAGAAACAACTGCTGATGCAAACTAATCGAGACGTGCTAATCGACGTCCTGGTTCAGTTCCATTATCAATAATGTGCACTAATCGAATTTTAAAGTTAGCTAATAAGTTAAGGTGTTGATAAAATACAGAAGTAATAATGTTGAGTTGAATACAAATTCCCTTACAGCTTGTATTAATAAGATTCATGTGAAATAGAAAACAACGCGAAATAGGATAAAGCTGCTATCACTTAGTTATTTTTACTTCAGTTAGCAACCCATCATTTGCTTAAAACCTGTTGTTTTGTTGAATCTTCAGTACAAGCAAGTCTGTTTCAAATATTTTAAGAAATCCAGATTTGAAATTAGTGAACCAGCAGTGACAACATTCGGAAATGAATGTAAGACCTGTCCAAAATAAACACATATGCAGCTATTCTACCAACTTACAATCTGTGGATTTCGTGAAAGTAGCAAAATAATGGAAATCTGAAAGCCTAATTAAATAGAGTGAATCTTTTAATAACAAATAATGACAAAAGATAATGTTGCTGTTGTTTTTCTAATTTGAGCCCATCTCTTCTAAATTCCTGGAAAAAACAAACTTCAGCATTCAATAGATACCATCAATAAAAGAAACACTATCGGAAATATATGCCAATGTCAGATTACTTTAGGAACAACTAAATTTAAATCGTCAATTTGTTGCTCATTAAATTCAAAAATTTTGAGAAGTGCTTCTTTTACTGATACATTAATTAAATTGAAGATTCAATCATTCAGGCTTAACAATTAGCATGTTCGCAAACCTAATTCATGATATTTGAAAATGTAACATCGAGTAATTCTATTATGTTCACTGACAAAACTATATGCTTCTCTTAGTAGCTATTCAACCAATTCTATCATTGTTTCTTGCATTTTTTATCAATTCCCTTTTCTTTATCATTCTTCTCATCGGTCATTGTTCTGCTACTTCATTTCCTTCATTCTTAGTTGCAGCAATGATAATCTTTTATACGCATGAAGTTTCTCAACTTCTATCAGAGGATTATTTTACAAATCCTAGCACTTCTACATTTCTACTATATTTTCGGCCTTCTTGAGAATGTCTCCAATCAGGAGTAATCTTTGCGACAGGATATCTTTAAAGGTTAATTGCAAGTTGAATTAAACATTTTCGAGGAACAATATGTTTATAAGAAATGTTGTATTTTTTAAGCAAGTTGAAGAGATTGTTGTCTATATTGGAGTAATTATCTAAATCAATAAACAGTGTTCTTCATATTTCTCTTCATGAGATTTTACACAATTGAATGAAAAAGGCCGAGTAATCGCAAGATGCGCGATACTCTACAATTAAATAATGCATTTTTTCCAAAATTATCAATGATGAAAAATTTTTCGTCTAAAAAATTATTAATATAGAATTGCGTCAATGGAATTTAATATTAAATTTTAAAAATTTTTCGAGGAATTTTAGAAAGTCTTCCGCCACAACTAATTGGAATATGTTGAACATGGTAATATTAATACTTTTTTCTTTTGTAATCAATGACGGGACTTGTGGTTCTTCTTACAAAATTCTGGTCTATTTCATGCTGATAGCATCCTTCAGCATATTGTTTTATCAATCCACAATTTTATTTCTAATGCCAGGTAGAAAAAAATGTGTTCAGGTTGTTTCACAACAGAGGAAAACCAGCAACGTTTTATACAACTAATTAGTAGTTACTATTTCAGCAAATGACTGTTAAATATCTCTTTACTTATTGCTTATCTACCGACATCATAGATTCCGTCGAAACACACGTCTTTCCAATTAAGTGAATCACAAATTATTGTGGTTAATGAATTTACACGATAAAATTTCAATGGAAATGAGGACAATAATGTCGTCATCAAGAATTCTATCGATCGAAATTGGTCAGTGAACGATTTCGAAGGAGAGTTGTGATATAGCAGCAGTAGTAGTGATTATGCTTGCAATTCTTGTAAAATCATTGCTCTGTTACAACTCTTCGCATTTGATGGTTTTTGAATGTAGCTACTTATTAGTGGATAGTTTAGACCTTGATTTTCAAATTTTACTGAAAAGTTTAACTTTTCATAATTTTATATTGCAAAAATTCTCCTCTTTTCTAAAAATTTTTCAACTTTCTCTTTTTCATGCGATCAGATATATGAGTAAATTGTGAATCTGCGCAATGTTTCTTTAACTATAGTTGAACCATAAATTTTTAAATACTTAACACTTAAATTAGAATGGAACAGAGATTACTGTAATGATTCAAGAAAGCAGCCTAAGGTGCTGAGCTACCCATGGATGTATCTCAAAATTTGCTCACAGCCTACAATTTGGCATCATTCTGTAGATTCTACCTTTTCCATGATACGTCTTCCGTTAGGAATTGTTCCTATCAGTAACCGAAAAAAAAAATTTTTACTTTTTTGAGACGCACAACATGACCATTGCATGTTTGAAGTAGGAGCTTAACCCCTTTCACATTTAGTATCATTCGGCCAATGAAGTAAGCGAAAAACAACGAGTACCCTGCACTTCTGATCTTAATGGGAGACTTTTTATAAGTGACTGAATTTTCGAATTAAAATCCTCAAAAAAATTTTGAATTCATTTCGAGTTTGGATTTTTATTGAACTTCACACTTTTACCATTCCGTCCATAAGGACAAGTAATTAGATCGTGTTATGTTCAATTTATATAATGAGTCATTTCTTATTATCTAACGAATTTGAAAATCAAGTTACAGCTTCAATTTGTTTCATTAGTGCTACTTTGATTTGTAATGCGGAAACACTACTGTGGAAAATGTAGTCTACCGGTATATTTTGCGGAGTTGGTGCAAGCTGCTGGACGACCATGGCACACACACTGTTTCCGTTGTGGTATTTCTTTACGAAAAGATTCTTGTTACTTCGGTTCTTGCAACTTATTGAGAATCCCAAATTTTTTTAGTTTGCAATTGATAGTCTTTGCAGCAAATCCAGAATGTGGCAGGTTCATGGATAGTCGATCTTACAATGATCATAAAGAACAGGTTAAATAACAGCTTTCATTACTTCTGTAAGCAAGATATGCTTTTGACTTTGTTAGATAATAGCAAATATCTTGCAAAACAATTAATTTATAGTTGTACTGCAATCACTGCTACAAATATTTGTTCGGGCCTAAAGGTGTCGGTTATGGTATTGGTGCCGGAGTGTTACTTACAGCCAGTAGCAAATACAACGATTCAAATAAACGAAGTGAATTCAACAGTGGTAATTTTCAAACTGAACTTTTGCCATTTTCTTGCTTTTGCCATTCAAATTTTCGAAGTCTGATCGAAAACTGAAATAATTTAGATTAAATAAATTTGTGAACAATTTACTGAAATAAATAATATCTATAGAGACCATAGTAACAGCTTCAATTTCTTATACAAATGAAAAGAAAGACCAAAAGCCGGGATACATCAAATTCATCGACGAATCATTTTGTGATAAAAGCGAAATACGCTCCAGAAGTGGGTTTACTATACCTTCAATAAAATTGAAATGATTTTATGAACTATTTTCTCGTTCCGAAATCTTTATGTGATCAATGCTCTTCAATTGAATCATTTATCATTTGTTTCAAGAACAAAAATACGCCTTGCTTAGATAACTTTTAATTACAAATGTAGCTCCATTCCAGGTACTGCTAATGGAAAAAAGCATACAATAATGAAAACTGTAAGTCATTAATGGAGTTCTTCTATCAGCAGATTACTGTTGCTATTGCATTTACCATCATCGAATCCAAATTAAACATATAATTTTGTCATAATTAGTTTAAATTTGCATATATATGTTTGCCATATCACTTCATATATGTAATTAAAATAATATCTTTTATCACTCTTTTATGATTAAATTATAGAATCAGCCATACTTAATTCCCAGCTTATGCAACATAAATAGAAAAAGCGGAAATACTATTACAAGTGCTGCAGTCACATGTCGCAAATGTTCAAAGGAAGTATATGATGCTGAAAAAATATTAGCAGGCGGTATGGTAAGTTTGCTAGCAGTTTGGTTACTGCCCGCATGTCTGATGAGTCCTAACTGTTATTGGTTGGGAAATACAGTTAGCATTGTTTGCTATATTTTTTTAAAAGTCATCAGCGAATTCTGATAATATGACAGCTTTCTAACCTATGTACTAATGTTAATGGCTTATTGAAGCATTTATTACCAAACCCTTTCAGGCCTGGCATCATAATAAATGCTTTGTCTGCGAAATTTGCAAAAAATTGCTTGAACCAAGAACAGTATGCGTCCGAAGTTGCGTCTTATATTGTAACTGTATGTTTTTTATAAATTAGTTTCATTTTATATTTACAATTCATTGGCCGATTGATATATTTCGTTCGGTTTCCTTTCTTGGAAGTGTTCACTTTACTCAATTAATTTGCAAATGTCTTCCTTTTTCATACCTTCTTACTAGGAAGAGTGCTAACTAACAAAGAGTTATGTAGTTAGTGGTACTTTACTAGAATTGCAGCTTGCTACGCAAAAGAATTCGGGCCTCAAGGTTATGGTCGTGGCGTCAGCGTCGGAATTTTGTAAACTCGCAAGCACTGCGAAGGAGTAGATTTCAATAGTAATTGAAAGATATTCGGTTCAACGATAAACTGATATTGTCCTTTTCTGTTAAATCAATGTTAATTTTTTCCGTGTCTGAAACAGTCTGATGCAAGGGATTTATTATCATTCCTAGCTTTTCATTTAAAACAGTAGGAAGTGCTTTCTAGAATCCCCAGAACATGGAATTTTTTATGCGTTTGTTTCAATTCCTGTAGAAGCTATTTACAAATTTCTTTAGGATAAAACACATAATATAGATGACCAGTCGTCTGAAACTCTATGTCGTGACAACGGTCGTTCAATGAATTTCATACGAAAGTGTCGCAGGCAACACATCAAGGACCTTTGAGATAGACAAACTCAGTAGCAAGTATATTTGGCAGAAGCAGTTAATGAGTTACTCGACCTAATGCAATCCTGAAGAAGCAATGTATTTTATTTATTACACAGGAAGCAAAGAAGAATCAAACTCAAAACTCAACATTTTTATTCTCTCTCATCATGCACATATGAGCAAATACAATTGGCGTATTGAACGCTATTTAAAATATGCCATCATCAGAATTGTTTTATCGGAGACCAGAACACTGCGAGGAAATAAACTGACTTAATAATAGGATTTTGGAAGCATATGAAAGCGAAGAAAGGTTTCGAACATAATCTGGACAAGGCACTTCATTTAACAATGACTATAAAATTCTTTTGGTAGTTTAATTCTTGCGGATTAGAAAAATTAAGCAATTAGAAGATGAAATGGCATAATTTAGGGTTGAAAACCGGTGAGAAACATAGCTGCTCGAACATCTTTTAAATTAAGCAATCTCAGGAATGCGACTGCTTATGAATGATTTCGAGATAGATCACTTGACTAAACCGAAATATTCTGAATGCAAAAATGTTTGACAGAGGACGGCATTATATTTGAGTATACGAAAGCGAACACTATTATAATAATAATAATAGCAATTAATATTCGATAATGCGAAATGATAATGCATGTGGGCGAGAATTGGTTGCTCGATATCCAAACAAATGGAATATCCATCGAGAGTGGAAAAACAAAGTTAGCAACAAATACTGGCACCATTACATTACCTTCATTTTACAAACAAAAACTCTTTATGAAATATAAAGAAATATAAAGATAACGCAAATTTAATGGAAAAAGATCCAGCGGTATCAAGAAACTTCTGTGGCAGACTTTTTGCTGTTCATAGGATCCGGCATCTTGTTAACCATCTAGAACTTGTCCATTTTACGCTTCGCTAGCATCATCTGCCCCTTCGTCTAAGGGTCCTAAAAATGGAAACTTATATTCAAAAAATAATTATATTTCACATAATTCAGTTAACATCAGGAAAAAGGGAAAAGAAATCTTTTACGCTATTTTATACTGGTTTCTCAACAATTTGAAAGGTTGGATTATGAAATTGAAACAACTCAAAAGATGAATTCCCTTAGTCTTCCATGATTTTGAAAAATTGATAACAAACTGCCAGAATAAGCAACCAGTTGGAGTCGATTTTTGGAAACTACCTAATGCATTGAATTTCAATGTTTAATAACTTTTTACGACCTGATATTACGAAAAATTCAGTGTCAGAAATTAATCCACTTTCAGATGAAAAACGATTCCTACGATCAGCCTTGCAGTTTTCAAACTGTTAAACTTTGAATGGGAGAAAACAGATAAAGCAAACTTGTTGATTGTTATAATGGTGAACAAGTTAGCAGGCAAACAGGATTTGATACGATATACTGCACTTGAGAAATGGTACAACACATGGTTACATATTAGATTCAATGCACATCAATCTGTCATGCTTCCATCATCATCACCTGAATGAACCATACCAATAGTTAATGCAAACTTTTTATCTAGAATTCAACAAGGAAGCTGTGTACAAAGATTTGAAATGTTAGCAAAATTCAACTCAATCCTAAATTTTATTGTGAATTAACCCATGCCATGTCTGTCATCTGCATTGGGTGTATTGAAAATTTTATCCAAGACATTGTAAAATAGCGTTCTATAAGCCATCCCACCACAATAAAAAACGATAATGAGCTATCATCTTATTATTATTCACACAGTCAAACTTTGAGGAAGTTAACATTCAAAACAGAAATAATTATAGTTCAGTGTTCCGCAGAGAGATCAGGAATTTTTTTTTGCTTTTGATGATGTAGTAAATTATTGCAGATCCAAAACAATGTCAAAGGACTTTTAAATAAAGCGTTAAAATATATGAACACGGGGTTCAGAAAAGAACTCGAAATTGTAGTTTCTGTCCAGCATAATTCACGAAGAAACAAGTATGTTGCTCATGCTAGTTTCGATGATAACCTAAACTTCGTCTCTACAGGTTAAAAAACATGCAGCACAGGTTAAAGCGTGTCAGAAATTTCATACAAAGAACAAACCTTCGATGTTCAACGTCAATTCAACGTTTGCTTCACCAGCTTCATTCTTAATATTGCAGGTATATGTACCACTGTCCTTTGCTTTATAATTCTGAAAATATTGCTCTAAAATTTCAAATGTTAACACAAGCTCCTCCTAATAAGCCTCTTTAGTTCAGGAAAGCACTTCAATAAAATTATTTTTGAGGTTTCAAAATGTTCTCCATAACTTGATAATATGTGAAATAATAAGTAAAAACTATACTTTCAGTTCCAATTGAGCAGTGAACGTGTTTGCACCACCATCAGGTGTTAATCCAAACTTTATACGACTTGATTCCTTCATTTTCTTGCCTTTTGGATTTAACCAAATGACCTGTACTGAGCAATTTTATTTTAGATATACATATAATGAAAGTTTCTCACTTGACTCTTTCAGTTTATAGTACTAAACACAGCATTAAGAAAGTTATTTTACCTCTGGGTTTTGATCAGCTTGGAATCCAATATCAAAAACAATGGCTGGATCACCAGAGTCTGATGTTTTTTGCAAAATCTGTGGTTTACGAGTAAAGGTCGGAGCTCCTTGCGGCACTGAAATTGTTTTTAGACGGTAAAGAAAAAACGTAACGATTAAAACATTTGATCAATATATCAATTTTAGATTATACGTTGAAGAGAAAATACTTGAGACCCCAAAAAAAAAAACCTTCAAATTTAACAGTGAAAGTGGCTGTTAATTTTCCAGATTCATTCTTTGCTGTGCAGACAAATTGGCCCGCATCTTTTTCTTTCGTCGGCTCCTGAAATGTTCTGATTTTTAATAGAATAATCCCATATGCTACCAAACTAAATGTAGCAAAAATTAAATCGATACTTTGATTTCCAGAGCAGCATAATATGTTTGATTAGCTTCTTCTCTTAGGACAATTTTCACTCGATCCGATTCAGCTACGATTTCTTCCCCCTGAAAAGAAAAGAGTTGTAAATTAAATTTATGGGTAAGCTAATTTATGCAATTTGTCAAGTCCTGCAAAAAATATTGTTCTTCCAAAACAGTAACTGCTGATTAAGAACCTTTTGCCAGACGAAAGTAGGTTTAAGAATTGATTTTGCTCTGAATTCCATAACCATTACTTGACCATCGTCACGAGATGATATTTGTGGTTTTTCGACAAACGTTGGCGCGCTGAATCCTGTAATTTGGAACCGAGCAAGGTAAAATTAGGTTTTGAAGTCCACTGCAGAAAGGTAGTATATAAGTTTCCTATCAATTACTTTTTACTTTTATTTATCAGACAGTGCTCTACCAAATCCTATTGAATCCGTAACATTTGTGAAATAACATGGAAGAAATTTTAAGTATTGGACGCAACTTAACGAAGTTGACCATAAATGTTTTTGTTTGAAAATATTCAAACTGTTACTAATTAAGTGAAAGGCTCTTTACCCACTTTCCCTTCCCAAAATTTTCGAACGAAATACAGTAAATTCAGATGTGATAAATATATGATAAAAATAAACCTGTAAGTTTGAGGTTAAAATTAGCGTTCCCCTTCCCGTGTGGATTTACAATAGCACATCGATAAGCTCCAGCATCGCTGTCAGCAAGATCCTGAAAAAAGCAACCACTAGATGTACTCATCTTAGGCTAGTCATAAAAATCATATTTACAATAAAACAACACTGCTTCAAAAGTTAAAAGATCTCATAACGTTTAGATATATTGTTCGGAACATTACCTTGATTTGTAAGATGGCTGAGTAAGCATCGTTTCCTTTGTTATCCAGTCGGAAACTGAATCGTTGGTCTTGTTTTAGTTCGGTCTAGAAAGTATGCAATCACTCATTATTCAAGTTCCAGCAGTGTTACATAAGAACTGGATAAAAATTTAGTAAGATATCTGAATAATAAGCAAAACAGTAAGATATCTGAATCGAAAGTCAAAAATAATTTCCCTATATTTAATTTAGATCATAAATGATAATACTTGCAATTTTTTCAGTTAAATCCAGAGACATTTGTTAATATAAAATTTTTTAGGGAAGGCTTACTGTATCATAAAACCACTTAATATCCGGGATTGGTTGAGCTTCTAAAAAACATTCCAGTTCCAATGATCCATCATCGTTTTGTCGAGCTACCGGCTGTTGCGGGAAATGAGGTGCCTTACCCTCCGGCATCTTCTTTCTAATAGCTGGCTTTATTACTTGCCACCCGCAGAAATCCTGTTAATAAATATTAAATATCAATATCACTAAAAGGAATCGACAAACGGACCCGTTGCACAAAGGTCAAGTTTTATGAAAAAGCTTACAAAACAAAAGACGACTGCAATCGGACTCTGTTGAGTACTTTAGGTTATGTGCATTAATAATAATAACAACAGTAGCAACGGTAATAATAATAATAATAATAATAATAATAATAATAATAATAATAATAATAATAATAATAATAATAATAATAATAATAATAATAATAATAATAATAA